GGAGGAGGAGGAGGAGGAGGAGGAGGCAGGGGGGGAGGCGGCGGCGGTTTCGGCGCGGCGCCGGGGAGGAGCCGGAGGCGGCAGCAGCACCAGCTCCCGCTCCCGCCGTCGACGATGTCTCCGCTGCCGGGCTCGCTCCCGCACCACCGCCACCCTCACCGCCACCACTACTCGCTGCCGAGGCCGCTGACTCCGGGGCCCCACGCCAGCGGCGGCAACGCCGCCGCCGCTGCCACCGGCGGGGGGGGAGCCGATATGCATCCGGACATGGCCGAAATCGTGGCGCTTAGGTCCCAGCTCGCGGAGCTCGGCGTCATGGCCGGGTTTTTGGACCCGTCCTCCCCGACGGTTGCCGCGGCCACCGGCAGCATCGACGGCAGAGGGATCCGTTCTAGAAACTGGGGCGGCGGCGGCGGCGGCGGCAGGGAGAGAGTGGCAGCGGCGGCGGCGGCGGCGGCGGCGGCGGCGGCGGCAGCGGCCGCGGCCACGGCGGCGGGTGCGAGCGTCGTGCCAACAGCAGAAGTTGCTGCCGGTGCGGGAGGCGATGACGGCGAGGCGCGGGTGAGTAACAACACTGGAGTTAACGAAGGGACCGTAGGCGGCGTTGGTAGAGTGGACGAGGAGAAGGACGAGGAGAAGGACGAGGAGAAGGAGGAGGGGGGCAACGCCGATACTGCGGCGGCCCCGGCCGGCACCGCCGGCGGCGCCGGGGCTAACCCCGCGGTGTTCGACGCGTGGGAGTACCTCGGTGTGTTTGGGATAGGCCAGCGCGGCCAGGACGACGGGTGGGCGGTCTAATATCAGCGTGTTACGTGGCGCTTTTGATATCCTCAAGCTCTCGCCTGGTCTCCGGCGCCGGTACCGACCGCTGGGGCCGTGGTGTGGGCCCGCCGTCTAATTGCGTTTTTAGAACGCTCATGCACCAGGACGACCGACTGCGGCCGGTGTTACGGCACTGCTCCACCCGCGACTTTTTGTACATACGACTCTTTCTTTAATTTTTTTTTAGTGAATGTCGGCGTGAGCTGTTTTGAGAGGAGGAGGAGGAGGAGGAAGAGGAGGACGACGAGGAGGACGACGAGGAGGAGGTGGGAGCTAAAATGTTTCTGCTCCCTCGGCCGTGAACACGGCAATGTTCTCCGATGTTGGTAGTCTAGTGGTCGTGGGTGGTGTCTGTTGTGGTTCATTCAGTGCTGGCGCGAAGGCCAGCTGTAGGGACATGATGTTGGTCACATGAAGTGTAAGATGGCTGTGTGTGCGTTCGCTTCTTTCTTGACGCGCGTTGTTGGGTTGGGGACACCTCTTGAGGTCTTTCCTGTGCCGAATGATGCGCACGAACGGTTGATTGGCTGTGTGGTAACCTGTTCCCTTCGAGCCTCGATAACCTTTTCTGCCTCTCACTGCTGTAGTTTGTGAGGGGCACCGTGTTGTTTTTTTTTCGTCGACACAAAATGAATATTTTTTTCAACTGTCGTGCGTATTCGATCGTGGTCTGCGAGACACACACATGCGTACCATGTCTGCCTCTCGACTAACGCTCGAGGATCGCCCGCGCACGTCTACCACACGCATGGGGGGCGGGGGCGGATGGTACCGCAGGAAGACGCTAGTGATCCCCGAGTTGAGTTCTGCAGTGTACTTGCAATACCTAACAGCAACCGTCGTGAGAGAACGAAACATGCCCACCAGTGGCCCACCAACACTCCCAACCAGAGTCAATGTCACTGTATGTGCACAGGAAGAACCGCATGGTACCGCGTCAGCAAGGGTTTTCCACGAAGCTTTTCCCCGGTATGTCGGAAGTAGGCATGTGCGTTTTACTACCTGCCTATCATAGCCGCTGTCTCACACGGAGGGGGCGATGTTTTGATCACCACTCGCTCTCGAGCTCGTGTGCGTGATTGTGCTTGAGTCCGCCTATCTGCCATGTCGAGTACGTGGAACAGCGACGCGACGGTTCCTCTTCTCGGCGCTCCGGTCCGAGGACAGAGATGCGCGGGTGGGCGAATGGCCGCCTACCGCCGTCAATGGGCCAGAACCCAACGATTCCCATGCGTAAAAGAAGGTTCATCACCCCGAAACCCAACGCTGATGTGATTAAAAAAGAAAAAAAACGTGGCAGCGCGTGCGTTCATGTAGCGTGGTTTGTGGAGGGGGGGAGGGAGGGGGGGGGGGGGNGGGGGGGGGGGGGGGGGGGGGGGGGGGGGGGGGGGGGGGGGGGGGAGTGTTGCACAATAGCGTGAATACTCAGTTGCGAACCGCCCGCCCCAGTGTCCACACAGGGCTGGCTGTCTTTACCGCATGCTGCTGCTGCTCTCGGCACGAGAAACGGGTGCATATATAACATCACCTGACGACGAAGATTCTACGAAACCCCGGCTTCTCGCCAGGAGCGCTTGTACCTGCCGCCGTCTTTCTACGTGTATAACCCTGGCCTTTACAAGAGTCATTCCACCAAGCAAACATGATGCCCCACCCCCCCGCCCCAGTACAAAGACGTCTCTCGCGCGAAACCAACCTCTGTAGCGCACAGCAATCGGCGGTCGTAAGCATGGCAACATTTCAGTTCGCCCCGCCACCCAAACACCCGCAAAGCCCTTCGCGCATATCTCAACCACAGCAAAAACACCTCCGGCAAAAAACAAACACGCCCCGAAAGACCTGGGCAGCAAAAGAAAACAAAATAAAGTACCGAGACTAGACAATTCACACCCGCGGCGACTAGGCAGCACCGCCTGGCACACAAACGCGCGGGCCGTTACAGACCGCCACACCAAGGAAAAAAAAAAATCGGCCGCCGCCGCAGTGATTCACCCCCACGCGCCACGGCCTCCGCGCCGGTAGGATGGCACGCCCGCCTGATTCGCCGCCCAACCCGCCCCGAACCCCCCCCCTCTCCTACCCCCGGAGAACAGCCAACCGCCACCGCCTCCCCAGCCCCCACCGCCCCCACCCCGCGCGCCAAAAGTGCTGTGCCAGCCAGACCGCCACCTAGAAGACGACGGCGGCGACGGCGGCAGCGGGAGTGCCAAGCCCGGCCCCGTTCCGTCCCCACCCAGCGAATCCAAAAGGCCGTACTCCGGGGAGGGGGGGGCTCCGTGGGTGTGGAACGGCCCGCGGGGGAGGTACGGGGCCCAGGGATACAGGCCCCATGCCCTGCCAAGGCGGCCCAGCGCTGCCATCTCGAGGACGCTCGAGCGCCGCAGCCGTTCCGCCGCCTGGGCGGCTTGGCGTGCGCGGGCGGCGGAGAGCTTGGCGTACAGCCGGCGGGAGGCACCCTCATTGCCACCACCGCACTTTCTGCCGCCGCTGCCGCCGCCACCGCCGCTGCAGCCGTTGGCTCGCGAGCTTGCGCAAGGAGCCCCCCCCCCCCCCCCCCCCCCCCCCCCCCCCCCCCCCCCCCCCNTGCAGCCGTTGGCTCGCGAGCTTGCGCAAGGAGCCCCCCCCCCCGCTTCCGCCGCCAGACCCCCAGCCGCCGCCGGCGATTCGCCGCCACAACCTACATCACCGTCACACCGGCAGCCTCCCTCGGACGCCGCCGCCGCCGCTGTGGCGTTTTCAGCAGCGTCAAGCGGCGGCGACGGCGACCGCGGCGGCGGTGGCTGAAGGAAAAGGACGGCGTGCTGTTCGCGCTCGGAAAAATCGGCCGCCACAAGCTTCGCCCAGAGACAGTCGGCCGCCACGCTAACGGCAGCTGCCCGCCCGGTCTGCGAAAGCGAAGAGAAGGGAACCAGAGCGAGCGAGGGGGGGGGGGGGGGGGGGGGGTCGT